ATACTATGAAGCATCTCTGAAAACTAGGCATGTAATTGTGTATTCCAGATGCACTCCTGACAATCAGTCGACAGTATTACTGTGTATTCTTGCAGTACTGAGGAGACATGAGCCTTGATATTATCCAGTCCAAATATATCTAGTGGTATGTTTTCCCTCTGTGATTCTGTGGAATCCTTGCCTGTTTTTAGATTTGTAACAGTGAATTAGCTAGTTACAATCATGGGATCATAGAACTGCTCAGGTTGGAAAAGGCCTTAAAGATCATGGAGTCCAAGCACAGCCCAGCCATCCTACCCCAACTCTAACAGCCCTCTGCTAAATCATGGCCCTGAGCACCACATCCAAACGGTTTTTAAACACCTGCCTGGGGATCCTATTCCTATCTAGTTCTATATGTAGTGAGCACTTACATCCTGATGGCATTCTGCTGGGTTGGTTGATGAGTGCTGGCTGATGTTGGAGGCTCCCTGGTTGCGTTGGGCTGCCTGCAGAACCTTGTGCATGTGGAAGTTACATCTGAAGGTTCCCATTCGGCTTCACCTGAGCTGAACGCCTTCCACCCCCCTGAGGGGCTGCCCCTCAGCCTCCTGTCTCTGGGCCCAACAGACCCAGGGCGGTAGATGGAAAATAAGTATTATGGAATATCAATTTCTCAATGGAAAGGAACACAGTTGGGGTAACTCCTGCGGAGTAGTGGTGATGAGTCAGGACAGCAGGCAGCAGCAAATAAATACCTCTGTGCTGCAGAGAGAGCAGATATCTCCTTGCTCTAGGTGAGATTCTCAGCCTCTCAGTAAAGATGAAGCCTTGAGGGACCATTTCTGCTGCTGCAATTCCTGTCAAGTAGAAAAAGAAGAGGAAAAGTCATTCAGGATTTCTAGAAAAGAAGAAAATACATATTTCCCACCAGTCTCCTTCACTCCCTCCATGCTTTTCCTAAACTCGATCCATCAAATTTATTCAAGGTGGTAAATTCCACATCAGTTGGGGCAGCTTTGTTATGGTATGAACTCAATAGAAGCCCCAGTAAATGAAAGTATTTATTCTAGCTCCCTGCACTCCCAGCCACCCTGGCTGCACTTCCTTTCTGGCCAGCACTGCATTGCAGGGCCGTGGAGGATGGGAGGTCGCCGCAGCTCTGTCTCCACAGCCACTTTCCTGGTGGTCCGGCCACCTGCAGAGCTCTGCATCGACCTTCTGGAACAGGCCTCCATGCCTTGCAGCCTTTTAAAGCCTCCAGAAATGTAGCAAAGCAAGTGCTTTATCTATTTCTGTAACTGCCCAGGATTTTGAGGTTATTGCATAGCGGTCTCTGTGCCACCAGCAGATGTTGCACCTTAGCATGTGCCTAGTGTGTCTCTACTATAGGAGTATGTGTACGGATGCACAGGGTGCTGTGACTCTTCATATGAGCTCTGAGTGCATTGGACATTGGGCCCTCTGTCAAGCTTGGAACCATCATTATGGGAACTGAAATGAATTAGAAATAGAAGGTAAAATAAACAATTAAAGAGTTGTGGCAGTCTTTACATGAGGTAGCTCTTCCCTCAACCAGCCTTATACTTCTTCCTTTTGTTAATTTTCATTCAAAGGAAATTAAGAACCTGAGGAGTAGGCCTATGTCCAAGGAGGAAAGGTTTATATTTGATATCAAGAGGAAGTTCTTTACTATGAGAGTGCTGGAACAGCTGCCCAGAGAGGCTGTGATGCCCCGTCCATCCCTGTAGGTGTTCAAGGCCAGGTTGGATGGGGCCCTGGGCAGCCTGGGCTGCTGTGAAATGGGGAGGTTGGGGGCCCTGCATGCAGTGAAGGGGTTGGAGCTTTGTGATCCTTGAGGTCCCTTCCAACCCGGGCCGTTTTATGAAGGTTCTTTGCTCTTTTCTCTCTCCACACTACTGTTCTAATCCCGTGAAATGTGGGGACGATGTTTCCACCCCCTTGTAAAAATTTCATCAGAACAGAATACCTCAGATGATCCAAAAACTGGGTCATCTGAGAAGACTCTGTTATTCCATGGCATGGATAGCAGGCAGGTGCTTCTGTTCTCAGAGCACTCTTCCCCATCCTTTGACTGTTTTGATGATCTGCTAATGTATTCTGCTATATTTCCTCTTCACTATTTACCTACAGGGAAACATCTCTCTTCTGTTTTCAGCAGAATTTGTATGTGGTTCATAGGAAGACTTAATAGGTATACCCAACAAATGGAAGGTTCTTTTAAGGACTACTTGCTGGAGCAATAAAAGCAAAGAAAGCACACGTGAAATAAAAATCATTAGTTGTATTAAAATAGCAAGTTTTATTTCAGTTCTCAGAAGCAAGGGCATCAGATTTTGGATAGGTGTGCCTGGAACATGAATTTCAACTTCGTGTTCTATGTAATAAAATAGTTACTTTTGTTTTATATCTCTCTACCTTGTGTTCCAGTATAGAATTTCACCAAAACCTTTGACTTATCCTCTGCATCAGAATGGAGCAAAAGATTTGCCATCTGTCTCCTCTTAGATCAATAGTTTGTATTCTTATGGCATTTCTTCCACATTTCATGCCATTTCTGGAGCTGGAAGCTACCTTCCTGAACGGCTTCTGAACGCAGACAGCCAAATCTCTCAGTAGAGTCAGCACTGTGGCTCAGAAATAGCCTTATCCTGCCCAGGGAGGTGGAGGGTCACCATCCCTGGAGGTGTTCCAAAGAAGTTTAGATGTGGTACTGAGGGACACGCTTAGGTGGGAAATATTGGCGGTGGGCGGATGGTTGGACTGGATGATCTCAAAGACCTCTGAGATTGTATGATGCTGTGATTCCATGTAAGAATGAGCAGTACGTTATGATTGTTGTGGTTGGTTTGGTTTTGAATGCGTTGCCTGATTAGAAGAAAAGTGATTTTTTCTGTTAAATTGCACGTGCATCATAATTAAAAATGAAATGTTTAGAGCTTGTAACGTATGAGCAATTGTTTTAAATCAGGGAGGTTTTTTATATCATTAAAAATTCCAGTGTAATGTGGCAATGAATAATTGTGTTTTTATATGTATTTCCTATAGAATACACAGGTATTTGCAGTTTATAAAATATTTAATAGGATCTGGTGTGCTTGCAGTTCTGTGTTTGCAGTCCTAGGAAGGGTCTGATGTTATATTTCACGCATGTAAGAGAAAGGAATAAGAGAAAGGGAAATTCTTTGGGTTGTCCTTTTAACATTTCAGTTACAGTGAGCATATTTTCCTGCGCAGGTTCTCTAAATTTAAAAGCTCATTTTTGTGCAGAGAAAGAGGAATTTTTTTTGTTTTTGATTTTGTTTTTTTTTCAGAAGTGCCTGGAGGAAATATCTGAAATCAGCGAGAATACAGCAATCACTGCTGTAATGATGTAAGGCCAGGATCGCTTTTTTGTTTTGATAGTAGTGGGATGGTGAGGTATTTTCAGTGAGCCCTTGTTAGGCCGAATTGCCACCACTTGGGAATTAACAGTTTTAAGTTTTAAAGATAATTTAGCTGAAATGGGTGGGAAGTGAAGCAAGTCTATGGAATGACTGATGCCTTGGATTTCATGAGTTCCCTTCATTTCTTGAGTCTTCCGTTGTTGGAAGGAACACATTTCAAGAATATTGTGCTGTTCCCATTGCCAGGTTGAGCTGTGAGGAAAGCTGTGATGTGCAGAGCTCCACATCAGCCCTCTGCTGCACACACGGGAGGTGGGAAGTTAGCTGAGCAAATGGCTCCGATCCTTTTCTTCCACATATTCTCTAGCCGCTCTGCCCCAAGCCTGTATCTGCTACCTGAGGCTGTGTGTCCAAAGTGCAGGACTCACTACTTGGCCTTGTTGAACCTCATTCCGTTGGCCTCAGCCCAGCTATCCAGCCTGTCCAGATCGCTCTGTAGGGCCTTCCTACCCCCAGGCAGATCGATGCTTCCCCCCAGCTCAGTGCCACCTGCAGACTTACTGAAGGTGCCCCCAGTGCCCTCATCCAAATCGTCGATCAGTACTGAATGAGTCTCTTACCACCTCTTTCTTCCATCACTGTCATGTTTCTCTGCTCCTTCCTTCAGAAGCAGCAGGACAACGTTTAACATTTACTACAGGAATGCTTGAATTGGCTTGTGATTCTGTTCATTATAACGTGGGAAAACGTGTTCTTCATTTTTATATAAGTAAAAAAACTGAGATAAGGAAACGGAAGGATTTTGATGTCCATTAATCCTTTATCATTCATAGAAGTGGCTGACTAAATAGGCAAAATCAGTGGTACTTTTTTATAGTGTCCTTCTGTAATAGGTTGTGTGGCTCATCCACCCAGTGGAGGCATGAGCAACTCTGTTCTCACTGACCTGGAGTGGATAGGAGTGAATGTTGGGTGCACAAATTGAGCAATCCGCAGTTGTTTGGGACACTGTGAGACCTTCACTGGGTCTTCAGCTGTCGGTCTGAATGAATTCAGTTACAGGAAATAAATCTGTCAGTCTCATTTAGATGTCTTGGATATTTCAGATTTTCTCTTGTGACGTTAATAATGTTATCTCCATCTGGCCTCCTGTCATTCAGTCTTGCGAGGCAAACTTTAACAGCCTCTCAGTTCATAGCGGGTCTTTCCATATCTAATCATTAACATTTCTACTTGGAATAAAATTCATTTTGCCTTTGAACACATTTATTTGCTAATTGTGTAGGTGAAGGGGGCTGCAAATACAGGTATACTCTGAGTGGATCCATGTTACAGCTTTGCCTACTGTTTTGGTTTTTTTAAGATGTTCCTACAAACTGACTTTCCCAGTCGCCATGTACTTCAGAATACATTCTTAAAGCCCTTTTGTCCCTTCAATCGCATTACTTAGATTTATATTTCTTGCAGCACACTCAGAGACCCATTTCCATATGGTGCACAGGTGCATTAAGCTCGTTCTTACTCAGATGTTTTTTATTTCACTCGAGACCACCTACCTGGTTTCTTTTTAAGTCCTCTTCGTAACCTTGCAATAAACTTCTCTCTTTCAGGTTTTCCTTGGGAGACGCTCGCAGGCCGCTCCATGAGTCTGCCATCTTGGTGGAAGACATCGTCCACACTCAGCTGATAAATCTGGTAAGAACGTAACCGATACAGCAGGCTCTGCTCTGAAACTCCTTGTAGAAGCATACAGCTTTCAAGATCCAGTGACTAAGAACAGATCGTTCTGGTTTTAGGACCAAATAAATGCAGAAATTGTGAGTGATGTTTTGCCTGCAGTAACGTGGAGGAGCTACTGCTAGACTTACATATCAGTAGTGCACACCTCACTTATGGTTACATGTTGTATTTGTGTGAGAGCTGAAAATCCTCTGCCACTGGGAATGACGCTGATGCATTTCTTTTCTGTTAAAAATCTTAAACTCTTAAAAACGTTTCCAGTATCTGAAGAGCTCATTGGGAATTTTTCTCTTTTATTCCTTGTTGTGAATGCGTTATTATTTGCTTAATATTTCTGCTTAAATATTTTTACTGTTCAGTGTTTTGATTTCTGTCAAAAATTATTTGGAAGTAGTAAATATTTTCCTTCATTGAAAGCCAATGAAAGTGTTGTATAAATAATCAGAAATTACTGAAAAAAGAAATTGTGGAAAATGAGATGTGGTTTTGAATATTGCAGAGGTGGTTCTAAAATCTGAACCTCACCATAGCTTTTATTTTAAAAACACTTTATGGATAGGCTAATGCTCATGTTTCACACAAGAGCATGAGTGTGCCATCTGGCATTGGGTACTGGAAGGTATAGAAGGTTCAGTTACCTTGGGGCACATAAAGTGTTGTGCTTCTCCTCATAGAATGGTTCTTCAGCTGCAGCCACCAGTATGTACATGCGTATGGAACTAGTAAATACAAATAATACTAAGGTATTGTAACTAGTGTTTATTTATGGCTGTTCCTTTATTAGCAAAAGCATTGGGCTGTGAGCTCCTAGATCTTCTTTATAGATCTTCTGCTTTTTAATGAGCCCCTTCAGCAATCCAAAGGTTTTTCTGAATCTCGAGGTAGGTTTGGTAACAACAGTAACAAGTTGTATGGACTTTTATAAGCGGAGACAATTCAGAATGGGGCAGACCACAGGGAAGTGATGATAACTGAGTCTCCCCTGCCCTCCTGTTGACTGCAGGTGAGTGCTTTCCTTCAGCTTTGCACTCAACCCTGCAGACATTCCTGCATGGCACTGACCACGTCCGTGGCCCTTCCAGCCCTGGGTAGCGGTTCTGTGTTCATACCTCAAGCCCTTCATGTATCCCCTTCCCTGCATCACCCAGCACCTTGTGCTGTGGCTCCTTTGATTACTATGCTTCTCATTAGGCTCTGGAAGAGGGAACAACCTCTTCTCCTTCTCCACACGTTTCCCACTGGTTAAACAGTGGGAAATATATGCTCCAGGCCATATATTTAGATTTTTTTTGTTCTAGCTATAATAACTGTATAATAACTTGGATTATGAAGACTGATGGCTGTGGCTTCGCTCTTCCTTTAGCAATAATGTGGTGAAGCATCTGTACTTTTGTTTTCCACCCAAGCTCAGCAGATCCTTATGGCAAAATGTGCTTTTTGTGAAAGTACAACCTGTGGCCAAGTGGTCTTTGCACTTAAATCAACGCTGGGCATTTGTGTCAGGAGTCTGTGACCCCTGGAAAACCCTGAGCGAGGTGTAGGAGCATGTAGGATTTCCTGACAGAAGGAAGAATGGGAACAGAGTGGCAGATAAACAGCTTTTCTAACCTTTCACCTCCGAGCCCAAGACAGCACTTTATTTCTGAGGAAGTGAAAGTATCTCTAATAGCTCATTGTTTTGACCTCTGACATTGGCATGCCGGAACTCTTCAATCATGGGCTTTTTTCATGCTCTGGGTTTCTGATAGGGATCTTTGCACATTCGACATCCTTTACAACTGCACGTCCTTGCTGGGATGTTAGTACATATTTGCAGTGCTCCACTTTAGAGATAGATGTTCATGTGGGTATATGCAGCACGAGAGGAAAACTAGTCTTGTAATTGGAACTGCCTGGAAATGTACTGCTTCCTACATGGATTTTGTCATACCATTCGTGTTAATGGACTACATAGTTCTCATTATGTAATTTAATGATTTCCTCTCAAAATTCATGGCTTTTTTTCTCACGTGTAAGGCTGAACTGTAGAAATTCCTTTTATGCCTGAAGTAGGACTGGCACATCACGCACGTATTTCTTAGTAAACAGTTGTGAGAAGAGCACATACTTGTTGATTAAGTCCAGATTTGAGCTTCTGAATTCAAAAATAAGCCAGCTTGATTACCTTTGATTGGTTGACTTCTGATATCTCTGAGGTTTATAGTTCCAGCTTCCTATTTTCAAATTTGATCTGAACTCCATTAAATCAGAGTCTGATTTGGACAGACTTACATGGTCACCATATCAACCCAATGTATACTTTATGAGGTCTGGCTGCTATAGCAAATGATTGCACTAACAAGTCAAATCCTTAAAAAACAGTCTATATATCTGCGTCATGTTTTGTGAGCAATCTTTTCAAACTATATGTAATAAGTTATACACTGCTTTATATTAAGTTAAATTGTGCTAGAACTATATAGCAACGTGTAGAAGGAAATGAGCATCTCCAGAGAATGATTCACATCATCCTAAAATTAGTTTCTGCATTTGATGAGATGAATCACCTCCTGAGGAATTTATCTCCCTAACTGTCTAGTAAAGGGACCCTGTGGTGGCTGTCTGGGCTTTGAGTATCAAGGAGATAGTGATAAACTTTGGGAGTCGAGTTGCATCTGATTTGTCTCAGTTAGAATACTAAAAGGAGCTTGAATTTTTTTTTTTAATTATGAAAGTGTTTTGCTACTTGCATATCAAGCATTATAAAAAAATAAAAAAGCTCTATTTTTTTCAAGCATGATTTATTAAAAGAGCACAAGAAATGTAAGTTTGTTTGAAATCAAGTTGATTGTTGACCAATAGTATTTGTTCAATAACTGATCTGTATGTATTTAAATGCCTTAATATTAAACTGTATTCAATTATGTGAGCTAAGACTGGAATTCCAATCAAAGTTGGAATGACCCTTATGCGTCGGTAGAGGAAAGAGGTAGAAGAAAATGGCTGAAAAGAAAATTGTACCTGCATGAAAAACGTTCCATCAGAGAATTCAAAATGATGTTAATCAGCAGGGGACAAACTATTAAGGTACATTGAAAATGGAGCAAGGCTTCTTTGAGCTGCTTCTTCCATTATTGCCAGCACACACTGAATGTTCAGTAACAAAATTCAGTATGGAGTCCATCAGTTCTTTATTTTCAGGCACCTGCTTTAGCTCTGCAACAGAGGCAGGTATTTTGGTGCAAATTTCTCTGTCTAGATTAAAGTTAGGAAAGTGTAATTTGTATTTTCTTTGCACTAAGATTGCACATGGTTTTATCTTTTTGGTTTTGATCGAGTTGCTTTAAAAAAAATATATATTACAAGAATTCCTCATTAAGGATGTATTAGTATGGACTATGTGGAACAAGTGCCAGCGAAACCAGAGAACTGTGGACAGAACTGTTGGATGGAGCAGCTGGTGAAGGCAGCATGTATTTTTTTTCTTTCTTTTGATTTGTCTTTTAACTTATGGAGTCTGGAGTTGGGGTGTTGCTTTGTGGAATCAGTGGTTGAATTTGCTGATCCTCATGGGTCCCTTCCAGTTCCCATGGGTTATTCTTTGGTTTAGTGAGAACTGTTGGTGATGGGTGGATGGTTGGACTGGATGATCTTGAAGGTCTTTTCCAACCTTGGTGATTCTGTGATTCTGATTGCATCAGTTCTCTGCCTTTGTCTGTCATCGTGTTGGAGACCAGCAGATGCCTTCCACTGGCTTTTATCGTTGGCTGCATTTTCTACTTTCAAAGTTAATTGACTGTCTTTAGGCTTCTTTCACACCTGTGATTATTTTCATGCCCAAAAGCTGCACTCCATGAAAAGGCCTAGCAGGGTCACCTGCACAACCTGCTGGGGTCTGCACATTCCTCTCCTTGGAGGACAACTCCTGCCTTGGGGCCATGGAGAAGCACTCATGGAATCATAGAATCACCAAGGTTGGAAAAGACCTCCAAGATCATCCAGTCCAACCGTCCTCCTCCCACCAATGTTTCCCACCAAAGCACGTCCCTTAGTACCACATCTCAATGTTTCTGGATTATCTCCAGGGACAGTTACCCCACCATCTCCCTGGCAGCCCATTCCAGCACCTGACCACTCTTTTAAAAAATAGTTTTTTCCTAACATCCAGCCTGAATCTCCCCTGGCACAACTTGAGGCTGAATCATCGGGGCTGTAGGGGAGAGGCTGTGCAAACTGTCAGATGCATATAGGTGGTCAGGAAGATACAGCAGTGCTGGAGCAGCCCGTCAGAAATGGGAGGTGTGTAGGACAAGCAGACAGGTTTCGTGGTTTCAAGTTCCATGAGATACAGGTTTCAAAGCATCATCTCTTGTAATGATCTGTTAGACTCTTAGGAAGGCCAATCTGGTGGCCTTCTATGATGGAGTGACGGCTTCGGTGGATGGGGGAAGGGCAATGGATGGATCCCTGGATGAAACCCTGGACTTCTGCAAAGCCTTTGACAGGGTCCCTCACCACGTCCTTCTCTCTAAATTGGAGAGATGTGGATATAAAGGATGGACTGTTCGATGGATTAGGAATTGGTTGGCTGGATGCAGCCAAAGGATTGCGATCAATGGTTCTGTGCCAGGGTGGACACAGAACATGGTAGTGGTAGTCCAGATACCTGCTTTCACAGAATTCAGGTTAGCACTACATCTGAATTTCAATTCTATCTGTTTTGTTTCTGAAACACTGGATAATGTCTGAGAAGGGCATGGGTTTGGTTTTCCCCACTGAAAGGCATTCTGACGGTAGCAGAGAGTTCAGCAAGGGGACACGAAAAATTGCACATATGTATACTAAAAATATAAATGTGCTCATAAACAGCCGAGATCAAAAGTCCCCAAGTACTGGTAAGTAACCTTATCTAGCTGTGAAAGACTGCCACAGCACATTGCAGCAGCCCTGGACTACTTCCTCGAAACGTTTTCTCC